CCTGTAACCCCCCCCACTACCAAAACCTTGCTACACAGACCTGTTACAAGTTACCAATCAAAGTCTGAGTAGGTGCCACAAACCCTGTCCAGGTCCAAACTGGTATCTACATTACTAAATCGGCAGTGGTGACACAGTACCTAACATGCCTGAAACATGAAGCATGACACATCGATTATACCAAATTCTTTCATAAAGATAAAACCTGAGTTGCTTAATTCAAGTCTGTTCATATAAAAGAATATGAACAGGCAAAAGCAAAGGACAGACAGACAGTATTTTCCTCACACCCAGTGAAATCCCAAGGTTGGCTCCCTGACCTCAGCTGGAGGGTCACAGCACTGCGACAACTCTCCATTCATTCTTCAGGCTAAGTGACGTTTCTTGCAGATCAGTTACAAGTTTAGCAATAAGAAAAAGGTTGTTACACATCTTGTGTATCGCATTAAAGACATACAGAGAGTCCTGCTACAGTGAGCTACTGTCAGGTATCTGTCTACCTTAAAGATTCTATGCTTGAGCAAACTGAGAAATCAAAATAAACTTCAGTTCAAAAGAGTCCTATACATACACAGTATAGAAACAAGACAATAGAAGTAGTCAGACAGGCGATAGCTATTTTCTTGCTTTTTCACTCCTACATTTAGAGACTGGTAGGAGATACTTAACCCATCATTTGAAGAAATCAATTCCTTTATTCTTTGTGAACAATACCATGAGATCACGTAAGGACAGACCTGTTCTGTCCTAACTTAAGAATAAGGAAAAAAAATGTATGTAATCAAGGTCACCTGTCCAGAAACAGGGGTTCCTAAACAGGAAGTTTCAAAAAGCTATCAACTACAGAGGAATGAAAAAAACAATTATCAAGTAAAAAAATAAATTAATTCTATTTTTAAAATATACTTAATAAGCAATAAACTCAAAACACTATAATTGTGCATATAAATACATACTATGCTGTTCATTTCTGAAGATTCATAACTTCCACATGGATGAACACTTCCAATAGGTTCCAACCCTTCTTCATCCCACATATACGTGCCATCAGAGCTGTCAGATGGAGAAAGTTCAAAAGAGGACCCAGCTCTGTAATTCATCTCTGGAGAAATCACATTCTCACCAGTACGCTTTGCGCTTTCACTGTTGTCATCTACTGCTTAAAGAAAACAGGAATAGTTAAGATTCCAAAACCAATCCAATATTCCAAAGATAAATATTAAGATGTATATTATTGGTGTGTTAACTTTCTGAAACTGTACCGTATCAGAAATATCTGAAAGCATTCTCAGTATTGTTCACTCATCCCAGAGGGGAAAAAAGCTCAAGCTTTTTAAATTTTCTTAAAAGATCACCAGCCCAGAGGAATGAATGGCAAAGCTAGGATATGAGGAATCCCACAACCATACAACAGGCGTGATTAAAAGAGGTATCATTCATTCTTATCCAAAAGAAAAACACCTCTTCAAGGTCATGCTTGGGAAAGGTAACAATCATGCAGACAAAGCACCATAAGAAAACAAATGGGCCAGCATAGAACCAAGTTCCATTTTGAAAAAATTCACAAGCAATGGGCAATTATATAAAACGACTAAATTGCAGTTACAGATCTTGATTTAGTACCTAAAATTTCAAACAGAACAAAGTATTTACCAGGCACATTTATATCAAGCCAGTCATCAGCATTACTGCAAGATCCTCCGCTTTCCTTGAGAGAAGTGAATGGCTCAATCGACGACATACGCCCATGCTCTAATTCTTGAAGGGAGCTCTCCTTTTGCTGTATTTGCATAGTTCTGTTTGGGTCTTCTATATCTATGAAATCGTCACTGAAGTCTTCGCTCAAATCATTTTTTTCAGAGGATGACAAAGAAGATATAGATATTTCATCTCCATCATCACTCATACACATGACTTTCGACCCATGCTTTCCCATACTTTCATGCAGGCCCTCATCAGATCCTGTTCTTTGAGCATTGCTCTCTATAATACTGTTTCTCTCAATTGCTCTATTAATATTTGTTGACATTTCAGAGTTCTCCACAATGCATGTATCAGGAGTTGTACTTTTGCTGTCATCCACAACGATATTTCCAGCAAATTGCTGCCTGGTAGGCTTCATCAGAGAAGGCCGACTTAATCTGTATCCAAAAGAATGTGCTGACCCAGATCCATTTGACAGTGGGGGCTTCTTTGAACAAGGAGCCAACAGACCAGAGTAGGGCCTGGTAAATCCATACTTCATAGGTTCATTTCCATTGGGTATATCCAACTGATGTGCATTTCTTGACAACAAAGTCGACCTCTGAGATGTCCTGGCAGCTAGATTTTGACTGTGATAAGGCCTTGTAAGATCCACAGCTTTATTAAAGGAATGTGACCTGGTTAAAGATGCAGCAGGAAGGAACGAATTCTGAACTGAATGTGAAAAACTTTGTGATCTTACCATTTTTTCACAGGAAAAAGCCTTGCTATTGTCTGTAGATTGTGCCAGGCTTTCTCCTGAACTTGTCCTTGTGGCATTGGAATTAGCTCTAGGTCTCTGCAAACCTACCACCGGCCTGTTTCCATAAAATCCATTTAAATGTGATTTTGGAGCATTGAGTCCGGAATACGAGGTCCTTCCTGACAGGGTACCTTTGGCAAATTTTGCTGAACTAGAGAGTCCAGGCAAAGACTTTGGGTTTAACTCCTCAGTAGAAGATACAAACATATTGGTTTGCTTTGCTGCTTTTGATGAAACCGAAGTAGTACTGTTCAAACCCACCCTGAGCACATCATTACCCAACGCTCCTTGAGATTGAGGATATTTCTCAGAATCAATTAATTTTTCATTACAGTTATGTTTAGAGCTGGTCTCTCTCCCATTTTGATCATGAAGTTGATATTTATTTGATTTTTTCCAGTTGAAAGAAAAGGAAGACATGCGAACAGTGCCATTGTGCTTGCCAAAATTTTTGCCACCGTTATTTCCTGCTAAACTAACAGCCGTTCCATTTGGCATAGGTTGCAAAACACTTCCTAAAGTTTTCGTTCCATATTTCGGTAGCCTGGAAACCAAGGATGTCCTGATTTGATTTTTTTCTTCCATGAGCTATTGGGTACATTGGTCCCTAAAGGGTGCTTGAATCTGAAGAAAGAAAAAAATTAGACTTGAATCAACCATACATTAAACAACATAACTTTACATACACTTGCATCTGTATGTTTACTGAATTCCTGTGCCTAACTATACCATGGTGATACAAAGTAACTCACACAAATTTTGTGAACTCCAGAGAAATACCTGTCACCAGCAGTTATCTGGCAGTAATATGTTATTCGGGTCACCCTCCCCTCCCCCAACATTCAGTCTCTAGATAACTGCCTTTTTTGTTCTTCTTCCTTTTGAAATCTGTAAGATAAGCTTAAGAGGGGATTGGGGTTTTTCTCCATTTACCTATTTTAAGCAAACTGCATTTTACAACTGTGCTACAACTATTAAATTACATACTTCAGACTTTATATTCAAAAAAATCCCACAAATAGAATATAGCACAAACCTGTGGTGAGCAATGTAAAACTGCAAACACTATAATGTAAAATCTGACTAAAAGCTAATTTTTCAAATTTTTTTTTTTCAGTTTCCCCAATGTCTATGTTATGAGATAAAAAACACTCACTCATCTACCTTCACCACGGCATTTTTTTTTTCCAGATCTTATTGATATCCCCAATTCAAGATGAACATTTCTAGTCACGTTTCCCACTTTGTACAGAAAGTGTAGTCTGGTTTGGGCATCTTCTTACACACGTACAAGACCTGAAGTACAGGGCAACAGTTGCATAACGTCAGTGTTGGCAAGTGGATTCATAACTAGCTACAAAAGTATGACACAAAAAGATTATAGCATTCATGCATTCCCTTGTATTTTGAATTTTGCTCCCATCTACCTGATTTGGAATATAGGGACTCCACTACAGTTTTTAATGAAGATTTGTTGTAGCTTAACTTATAATCATGGTCTATTTTACAATCACATTTATTTTATAAAGCCATACCTGCTTTACAGACGTATCTCTGCCTCAAAAATTTTTGCCTTGAGAATTCCAATCTCCTTGCTTTGATTTACTGCTTTTTGTTTCTCCCACACTCATCTACATATCCGTCCCACTATTTGGACAACTAACTATGTCTATATCACTCTTTGGTACAGCACTTAGTCTGTTGTTTCGCCTGACTATACAATACAAACAACTTGTCTAAACACTACTATTAAAGACCTGCAATTCAGGCAATAATCCTTGAGAAGTCTTCAGGTTTCAATGACGCACCTTAAGCTTTACTCTTGTGTTAAATTCTGTATTTGCAAGACCAGGTTTCTGTTTTTTCAAGAAAGTCGTAAAAGGGTATCTTGCTTCTGCTAGCCTGGATTTTATGTTTTCACCAGTTCTACTCACTGGTCTTACAATGATGTAAACACACCAAATTTCAGTCGTTCATATGTTATTCCCTGAAACTATTAGCCGCGTCTGTCTGTTCACAGACCTCGGCACAGCCAGCAGGATTGCAAAAAAAACATGAAAATTTTTAAACCATGGTAATCATGATGAGAATCAACACAAAGCAAGCAGAATTATACTTATTCAAGGTACAGAAATATCTTGTGTAACCACAGCAAGCATTACCTTAAAATGAGTCACTCCCCAAGCTGCAAGACTGCACTAAGAAACACTTAAGATAAAATCAAAGTGGCATTAAATTCATGCAAACTGAAGTACCCTAAGGATTTTGTAAATGAATAGGATGCCCCAGAGCTGTACTTCTGGAAGTAGATCTACATTAAAAAGATACAGAGCGAAACACACTCGGAGACTTCGCTTTTTAGGGGCTCCTAATAGAGTAATATCTCAGAATCCACATCCTATGACTGATAGAGTGCATTTCAGTTTACAAACGCACAAATCCAGAGTTTTCAAATACTAAGTGAATTCTTGCACACCAACCCTCACCTAAGTGAACAAAGAAGCACACAAGAATTTCCCCCGGCAACAGCAAAACATCATTATGTATAATATGTGCCTGTGTGTGAATTTAGGTGTCTAATGTTAGACTTATCTCAAAACCACGATGACTAGCATCATCTAAGAAAAGCATTTACAGTACCTCATCAACATATCCACACCCATAAGTCACCTCCCTACAGTGTACCTGTATACCTTGCAAATGAAAAAATAATTTGCTTTAGTATCAAATGACAACATCATATATATTTACTTTATGTCAAATATATACTAAAGGCACTTTTTTTTAAATAACCCCATGCATAAAAGATTGCCCTTAACATCATGATGAATTAATTCATAGCAAGCATCATACTGCAGATCCACCAAAAGATACCCCAACTCTAACAAAAATTCTCAAGTCTCTTAAAGAAATCTTCCAAATTAAAAAAGTTAAATTAGAAAGCTGCTAATTTAGCTTTCCTGCTTTATGGATAATGCCCTTTTCACATCTGTCTACCATCTCTTAGGTGACTGCAAAATTTAAATGAGGCCATTTAATTAGATTACTTTAATCCTCTACCAAGTGCTGCAAATTAAACTTGAAAAGACAACCTTTCAGTTCTCTGGGAAGGGTGCTTGCTCACTTACCCTTAATTATGGAAAGACAAAACATTATCTTCAAGAAAACGGAACCGATTGCTTAAAACACTTCAGATAATTAAATTAAAAGACAAGCAATATTTGTCTGTGTTTTATTAGCTACACAACTGTAACGATCATGTCACCTTTTCAATTCTAGGTTGCATTTGTTTCGTTGAAATACAATGCCATCAAAAAAATTCCCAAACTTAACAGTGTCATGTGTGGCAGATGTTACTTTTCCCAGAAAAATGGGCAATTTTCTTATTAAGTTCTCTTAAACATCTTCAATCTTGACATACCTTTACTACCAGAAATTACACTATCCTAACAATGCAGTCGCCTTATCAAGAAGCTCAGTACCTGCAAGTTACAATACCATTTCTGCATCCCCCAAAACTACAGTTCAATACAATTTAAGTCATATTCTGCTGTCTTATAAAGAAATTCCAAGTATTTTTACACCTCTATAGCTATAGATTTTTCCAAACAGACATTTGGGCAAACAAGTCTTACGTGCTTTGCCTGGGGAAATACATTATCTAGTGCACACAAGCCTTATCGGGAATTAAGCTAATTATAAAGAGCCTAGTCTTACATAATGATCCAGGAAAAAGGAATTAAAACCTACAGACCCTCTCTGAAGTAGAATCTGAATTAACTGAAAAGCTGCTACATCCTTACCTCCAAGGATATTCAAGATCCTGGTGATAAGCAAAAGGATATTCATTCTCACTCTCCTTTGTGCTTTCTGTATAGGATTATTTACACCTCGGCAAGATCCTCCAATGTTAGTTTCAACCACCAAACAGTCACTTTTACTTCATTCAAAGTCTGTTTCAACACCAGGAAGGCAGTTTCCTACATACTAGCTTCTCAAAGCTTAGGTTTGCATCTGAGACTCTGCCCTACAGGTGTGGAATGATTATTACAGCAGAAGACAGCTTAAGCTTCATACATTTCAATGTCTGGGCACCTTAAAATATTGTGATCCCCATGGTCCGTGCCATCAGAGAGCTAACAGCATTTTCAAGTTCCAAACATATTACCATGAGTGGGGCCAAATTCCCCCCTTGTCATAGCAGCGTGGAATAGACAGCTGCCAGATGAAGCACATCTGACAGACTGGTGACAAACAAGAGCAATTCTGCAGAACTATTGCTATGCCAACAGTTTCAGATGTATGCTTCATTCTTCTTCTCAGTTTAAAGACCACCTAAAGAGAAATACTGAGTAGCTAACTTAAGATGCTTTTCTTAGAGCAACTTCCTTCCCAGTGTGAAGAACTTTTTTGTTGAGGGAGAGACAAACATAAGTTTGTGTAACCGGATTGTGCTGTAAAACCAAGACAATCAACACCACCTCGCAACTTCTGGTAGTTACTTGGCAGCTACAGCGGTACACAAGCTTCCTTACCTACCCAGAAACATTATGTCAGTCAGTGTTCACATAGCAGCAAACACTAATTAATAATCAGTCCGTTTTGCTGGTATTCTGTGTGGGCAGACTGACAGAACAACTGCTATGAAGCTCTGTGAATAAATGAAGTGTTTCTGCCATCATGTGCTGGACATTACTGAAGCAAACGAAGTTTAATGACCACGTTTGCCAAGCCAGCCCTTACACTCGTATTATTTGCCTTCCACAGAAGGCCTAAGCATTAAGATACCATCTAATTCTACTTGTTTGGCTCAGTGACAGGTCATCTGAAGCACTGCTTTACCAATAACCATGTACATTTATCTTGCCAACTCTATGGTGCTAGAATTTCCAGGGACCTTCATTCTTTTTCCTAGAAAACATAAGCACATTTCTAAGCTACAAACAGCATGGACAGGAAGGTGAGAACAGTCCTCCAACAGTAGCCTAAATTATCTCCTCTAGTGAAAAAAAGCTTACTTGGCCACAGCACTACATTAAGGCAGTGAAAAAAAACTTAACTACTGCCCAAGCAGTGCAGAAAATGAGTGAAGCCTACCCTTGGAACTGAAGAGCAAATGGCAGACGACAAGTGGATGGCTTGAGGTAGGCCAACCTACTACCTTAAGTAACAATTATATTCTGCACCACACTTCTATCGGGAGAGCCCTGCTGAAATTTGAGACACAAAACAGGCTCTTCAAGCTGCTATGGACATACCCCAAGAAACCTGCTCCTAACTTCCCACTGGTTTTCATGATAACTAAGATGCCCTCCACACAAAAAAGATAAAAACTTGCCAACTTGGAAAAAGATTGTAGTTTACTTCTAATGATCATCTGCTGAATCTTGATATACCACATGGCCCTTGTGAATTTAAGTGCACATGTGTTTCAACTCTTGTGGCTTATAAAAACAACCTCTCTACACCACCGGGTTTTAACACCGCAACTTCTATGTATTTTTTTTTTTTTCTATTCAAGCCACATAGAATGCAGATCTTTTCACCACTGATTTGTGGTGAAACTTAAGCATAACTTAAGAACTATTTTTCTTTATAATGTAATTAGAAATGCATT